AAAATATTTATCACTAGTAGTATTAACTGAAATCCGAGCACTAAATTCTGTGCAAAATTCCCACGTTTCTTTGTAAACAATATTTGAGAACTGATCTTAAGGAAAGATGACTTCTTCCTAGCAAATTTTTTGGCATGCATTTAAACTTTTTCCAAAATAAAGCACTACCTTGTGAAGACATGGCCCAAAAATGCACATACATTGTACCCATGTGTACAAGCAGATTCTGATATTGTACTCTAATTAGGCAAGATTTAACCAACCACTGAGGAAAGTTGGTTGAAGTATTAATAGGATTAAAAAAAAAAGCACCTTTAATTTGTGCTGTAGTAAACACTATCAAGTGAACTTTCAATATACCTGTTTCATCTCTAACAAACCAGAGCAGAAAGAACTAATTTCTAAACTCAACTGTCACTTTTTGTTCAATTTTACAAAACAAAATTTCCCTCATTTATAAATCTGTAAAAACTGACCTACCTACTCAGTGTCAATGTGAGGATCAAATGAGACTTTATAATACTTTCTAACATTACTGATACAACGCACATTTCATTTTGTTCGAAATGTACTTATTTGAAATAACCATATAATTTGTTTTCAATATGAAAAGACCCAAACATCATTAAATTGTACGTAAAACTGTAAATTATTCTTAATGGTCCTTACTGAATAATTCCTTCAAAACATTAATGCAAATGTTATCCAAAATGCTTAAAAACAAACTGTTTTAGATTCTCAAGTTTTTTGCATGTTGGAATATTTACATAGAGTACCAGTTGGCCATTCCTCATCTGTTTGTATCTAAAACTGAGCATTTCTGCATGACACTCAACATGATTTCAGATTTTCAGATTAAGGATGTTCAATCTGTAATAAAGATTGTTAAAAAACACATTTTCAAATTTCACCAAATTAAAGCTAGCTGTCAAACAAGATAAAAACAGGGGGCTGGGGCAGTGGCTCAGTAGCAGAGTGCTTGCCTAGCATGTGTGAAACACTGGGTTCAATCCCCAGCACCACATAAATAAATGAAATAAAGGTCCATTGACAATAAGAAAAAATATTTTTTAAAATGTTACTAGGTAGCTCTAATCTTCCAAATCTTCCAAAAACAATGCTAAAGGCAATTTTCCTTAAAAAAAAAAAAAAAAGAATTTTAAAAAGCCATGTAAATTTACTAAAATCCCAAATTCAGGAATCAGTAAAGGATATCCTTCATTAAAAAAAAAAATGTGGCATTTATACACAATGGAATATTACTCTGCACTAAAAAAGAATGAGATCATGGCATTTGCAGGGAAATGGATAGCATTAGAGAAGTTTATGCTAAATGAAGTTAGCAATCCCAAAAAAAACAAATGCCGAATGTTTTCTGATATAAAGGGGGTGACTCAAAGTGGGGTAGGGAGGGAGAGCATGGGTGGAAAATTACCTCTAGATAGGGAAGAGGGATGGGAGGGAAAAGGAGGGAGAAGGGGAACAGCAAGGATAGTAAAAGGAGATGGTCATCATTATACAAAATTCATGTATGAAGATATGAATTTGGTGTCAACATTCTATATATACAGATTTGATAAGTTGTGGTATAAAAGTGTATTAAGAATTGTAATGCAAAAAAATTATGAATGTAATGCACTCCACTATTGAAATGTATGTATTAAAAAAAAAAAAAGGGATATCCTTCAATTAACTAATTGAGCCAGCTCTCCCAAAAGATGTTTCTAACAAACTTCTAAGAAGTTTCTCACAATAATTGAGAGGGATAATGGGGGGAAATATATCCAAAAAGTTGAAGTTTGTACAATTATTCCCAAATTTAAAATTACTTGGTAAAATATTTAGAGCTGGACTTAAGAATTCAACAAAAGAACAAACTCAAGACTTCCTTCTGCCTTTTTGAACCCAATGAAAATAGACCAACCTATACTGTGTGCCTTTTTTTTTTTGAGGTCTGGGTGACAAATGCATCTTTAAAAATATATCTAAACTATAAAAACAAATCAAATTGATTTTTGTTTCTGGTTACATATAGAACAAAGTACATAAAAAATGTTTCATCAAAAAAATTATCTTCACATAATTAAAGGTAATTATAATAAATCATAAGTGCTAAAAAGGATAAGATCTCTCTAAACTCTAGATGCTAAATTGCAGTCTTATTTTAACCAAGATTTTTAGTAGTAAAAACAATCATCCTCAGTCTCTGCTTTTTTACATTATATCTTTAAGTCCTTTTATGCCTTCTGAACTGATAATTTTCAAGAAAATCCAAGATATCAAGAGAGATTACTGAAAAAAAAAATTTTAATGCCAATAAAGCTCAAGCCTAAGGAAAACTAATAAAACATTTAACCAGTTTCTTATCTGTTTAAATGCAATTTACAAATCATAGCATATAGGCTTTTAAATTAGATATTTTTAATAGTCACTGATTAATCATAAACTGAAAAGAACTGATTAAAAATTCATAAACTGAAAAGAAATTTGAAATAGTTCAATAGTATCTGTTTAGTTGTTATACATACCAAAGAGTACAAATGACCCCTTTACTTGCATTTGGTTTTTGATAATGGATTTGAATTTACACATATACACTTATGTATACACACATGAACACTTACTAACATATATTTGATTGTTACAATGCCCAAAATAAAATCATACTTCAGAAAGTTTATTACACTTCACATATTAGCAATAAAAGAAAAAATGGGATACATGTCTACCTAAAGTCAAAGCTTAATTTTAAGTATTAAATGAGGGAAGAATCACCATTTTATATCCTTAAAAAACAGAATTAACATCAAGAATTTACTCTGGCCAGGCACAATGGTGCATGCCTGTAATCCCAGAGGATCAGGAGGCTGAAGCAGGAGTTCAAAGCCAGCCTCAGCAATGTCAGTGAGACCCTGACTCTAAATAAAATACAAAATAGGGGGGGGATGTGGCTTAGTGGTTGAGTCTCCCAGAGTTTAATCCTTGGTATCAAAAAAAAAAAAAAGATTTACTCTGACCTCTGGAATGAAAAGATATTTTGTGGTATTATTCCTTAGTAATATACAGGAATATGGCAAGCAGATATATTAAAGATTGGGTAGACAAGAATGAACTAGTATTTGGCTCCAGAGGGAAGATAAGCAGTGAAGAAGTAAATTACAAAGTAGGGTCTAACTCAGCAAATGACTAGTTAGAAAAATCAGTAGAAAGTTTCTTACAAATGGAGTGAAAGTAACATCAGCAAAAACACAAATAAGAAGAAAATTAAAAGCTACAAAGTACCTGAAATGCACATGTAGTAAGAAAATGAAAATCAAAGTGAGGAAACAAATAGAGAAAAAATAAGCAACTAAACCACTAGCTCTTAAGAGTCAAGGCATTTAAGAACAGGTTTAAGGACCAGGATCATGTTATCTTGACTTCCCAGAGTATCACACAATTGTTGACACACAACAGATGCCCAATGTTTGTGGCATGAATAGGCAACAAACTGTTCTTGGGATTACTTCACCTGTGAAACGATTGGGCATGGTTCACTATAAATTGATGCAAAGCATTTATATAGACATTTCCTAGGGTATCTAAACTGACTTCTTGCTGGATCTGGGGATAGACAGATTAACTCAGTCACTCTAAAATAAGAACTTGAGAATCTATAAAAACTTAATATGCTTTTAAGGAGTTGATGTACCTTGTCCTAGTCTGTCACAATTGCCAAACTGCACAAAATACAGCACAGTGTAGCAAAACTAGGTAGTACCTGTCTTCCAAGAGCTACCATTTGAAATAAAATCCACTATAGAAGAGTGGCTGATAAATATCACGAGTTCTACATAACAGATATGGAAAAAAATCACTCACAAAATTACAAACATTAAGTTTAATCCTGCCAAAGAATCTGACACTAATAAACCCACCTGCTACTCACTTACAAACGTGGTTTATCTGCCTAAGTAGCACAAAGCTACAGCTATATTCAAGAGAACTATTTTCCTCCCAAACATCCAAATTACTCCATCCCAAAAGAATCTTCTGACCATTAATAATTTCCTCAACTCTGAAATTACGTAGAGGAGACCAATGTTTCTCACTTGAGTAAAGCTGGTTCTATTCCAAAAGACAAAATTTAAAAAGACCAAAAAGATGCAGGATTTTTTAAGTAAGCCTACTAGGAAGCTATTTATTAATAGGGGCAGAAAGCCACAGAGTACTTCACTTAATGTCCCTGGAAGTTTTCAATTAAGATTTTATAATTAACCTATGTATGTTGTGTACTTCAACAATATGAGATCTTACAGCAAAAGAAAATATGGATGTTTTGATTACCTTAATGAAATTAGTTTGTTCCTTTATATAGATTTTAAATATAAAATCTTTAGGAAATTTTGAGCAGTCTGAAAATTCACTTATTCTCAACACCCATCACAAATACTTGAAGTCATAACTGAAGGGTATTAGCACTGAGCAAAAGAAATTATATTAACTCTCAATGAACACTGTACAGAAATTTAACAAGACCCTGGAGAATACAAAAAAATAAAATTTTAAATGTTTACAACGAAAAACAAACAAATTTCTGAATTACAAAACATTTTAAACCTAAGTTTTTAAGATTTATAATTTATCAGTATCATTAGGAAACAGATTTTGAACCCCCTAGAAAATACACTGAAGGAGCAAACAAGGTTCTTAAAAGTAAACTGAAATCTTCACTTGAAAACTTGAAGTTCTTTCCCTGAAAAAAATGTCCTGTATCTCTACCATCATTAACATATGGTAGACTATTCACAAATGCATTCCCTATTATCAGACACAAGAAACCACACTGTCAGCATCTTATTTCTATAGTAACTTGTTTAACAAACAACAAAAAAAAAAAGACAAAACATGAGAACATATAACCCTATAGTACAATTTCCAAAGTGAGGAAGTTACTATGTCCACTGTTTTACTTAGATTTGTTAAATATCTGTGAAAGTTTCAACAAGAAAGATACTCACCACCTTCCCTCTCTCTAACTCTGTGAGTATGCACATTTTTGGCCTTATTATGACCTGTGCTGTCACTATATTTGTTTTCAGGACTATCAGATCTCCGCAACATTTTATTTGGTGGTGAAGGATCTGCGGCGTCTCGCATCTTTTCATGTCGGTGATCACCACTACTGGGGTGACTCTTCGATGAATACTTAAGTGCCTGTAAAACATCACCCCCCAAAAAACAGAGAAAGAATTGAAACTTTAAATAACTCACTAAACTAATTCAATCACAAATTTTAGTGTATTTACTTCATTCAGTTTTATGAATTTATACCAATAAAATTAAAAGGTCCATTTTCAATTCTTCCTTTATTCAGACAAAACCTAAATGCTTAAGAGTTGGTTTGACTTCATATCACATTTAAGAAAGGAATCCCCTCCATTATCACATTAAAATAAGAAATCAAGTATTTTGGCACACCGATTCCTCAAAAAATTTGAAATATCTGAAATCCCTTTTTGAAAGTTTAATCTAAAGAAAACTGGAAAACAGTACCACCATAATCAATTTCTGCTCTACTACTGATTTACAAAGGCACACATATAAAGCAGTCTGCAAACCTTCATTTTTAAAGGGCATCACTTTCTTAGACCTTGCTCATCTACTCTTCCAGGTGTGGAAAATAAAATTTGAAGCTATAAAAATATTGCTCAAAATGAATTAATATATGAGCAACGTTCTCAAGAAAGCATAACAAAGTTTATTAACACACTTCAACATAATGGTTCAGTTTTAATCTAAGTATCTTAAAACAATCATGATATACCAGTCTTTTATGATGGGTAATTGTGTTTCGGAGACATATTCAATAGAATTTACTCTTCGAATTATGCAAATGTAACAAAAAATGTTTTAAACAGCAGGGGAAGCTAGTGTTTTAAACTAGAGCTTTGACTCATACCAGACAGTTACAGAACTAAGAGGTTAGGAACCTGTTCTCTTACCAGAATGATTATAGGCAGAAAGTATTCTATTGTCATCTGAGAGTTATCAACCATTTATGAAGCTCCCCTACACACACATACTGGGACCACGTCTACTGTAATTTTCTAAAACTTTACATTCAAAAACTGACAGTGACAAAAAAAAAAAAGGAAACCTATATGCCTAGAACCATCTATATTAGAATGAACTGCCCAAGTACCTAAAGATTTTAATTCTTACTAAAACAAATGCATCATCTTTCACTTGTAAGGCAATTACTTGCACCAAAAACAATTAAAATGAAAAAAGAAACTAGTTTACAACTGATTTGAGAGTTGTAAATCACTTAGATAAAAGGCCTGGGAAAAATAGCTAATGTCTCTTTCCTTTAACTTTCAATGCAGTATATAAGTATGCCAAGGCAGTAAGTATGCCTCTGAAGTCACCTATCACTGCATCGCATGGATTCTTCACTTAAATAACCAAGTAAGATCTTCCTGGCTGTGCACGATTTTTTTCCCCTCAAAAAAGGGAACTTCCTCCAGTCACCTGTCAAAATAAGTCACTATACCTTGTTGGTGAGCGCTAATGAAACAACTCCAAATTTTAAGGTGGCCCGCGGTGCTAGTTTTCGCATTTGTTGCACCGAAGGGCCTGTAGCGACTTCTGAAGCCTGCGCTCGAGTAGTCCCTCCCTTCCCCCTCCGTCCCCTTCCAATCCCTCCACCCCGGCCTCGGCTGGTACCTGGTAAGGCTGCGAGTCCCCCCTCCGGTCGTGACAGCTGAAAAACAGGAAGAAAGACAGCGACATTAGACTTTGAGGGGAGGGGAAGGAAGAAAACGGGTCTGCTTACCGCCCCTCCCCGCGGGAGACCTACCAAACGTACCGGCGCGGAGCCCCCACACGCGCACACCGCGTACTCACACGGGACTCCCGGGAGGGCGAAACCCTGCGAACCCGGCCCCTCGGTCCCCTCCACCGCGACTCACTCTTTCCCTGCCCCTCGAGCGGCCGCTCCTCCTCCCCAGCCCGATCCGGATCAGGGTTAACAACAAAAATGGCGGCTCGGCCAGCTCCAGATAAGGAGGAACAGCCCCCCCGCCACCGCTGCGGCCCGGCCCGAAACGAAAAGACAATTTACCCATCACTGAGTCTCTGCTGTTTCCTCGCATACATTACCATCAATGCCCGGCCTGTGAGTGTGTGTCGGGGAGGGGGGAGAGCGGCCGCGAAAGGCGGGCGGGCGGGCGCGCAGGCGGCGGCGGGCGGGCGGCAGCCCCGGCACCAGGGCCAGGCGCGCCCTGGGCGACTCTCAGCACCTCCTCGTTACTGGCGCCGGCGCTCCCGGGCCATCTCCCTCGGTCGACACCACGCTCACTCTCAGCCCGGGCAGCGGCGCCAACTACACGGCGGCAGCGCGAACCGGGGGGAGGGGGGTAAGAAGACGCGTCCGGCTCAGCCCTGCGGAGAGCGACTGCTACCTCCGCCTTCCTCTCCTTCTGCTCCGCCGCTTCCTCCCCTCCTCCCCCCCGCCGCCGCCGCTGCTGCCTGGTCCTTCTCCTCCTCCTCCTCCTCCCGCCGCCGCCGCCGGTGCCGCCGCTGCCGCTCCACCAACTACATCCGGGCAACTAGGACGCTGCGGCCTTCGGCAAACCTCGGCAGTTTCCGCCGCGCCCCTCCTCTTCCACCGTCGGCCTCCCTCCCCACCCCGCGCGGCTCCGGAACGCCGCCTTCGGCAAACCTCGGCTCGCTCCGGCCTTCCTCTTCCTCTGAGGCCTGGCTCGCCTCCTCACGACCCGTCAGGCTTTTCCGGTTGCCGCTTCTTTTCCTCACGCGCAAATCTGGTCGCTGCCGTTCCAGTTTAGGGATAGTCCTGCTCGGCGACCTGCTCGAGGCTGGTCCCAGGGGCCTCGGGCTGTGTAGGGTGGGAGCTGCCTTTGGGAGGAGGACCGTAGGGCGCGAGGGACGCCATCGCGGACTAAATAAGGGAGGCTGCGGCGGCTGCGCGTGCGCCCAGAGGCGCAACGGCGGCGCGGGGCGGGGGGCGGGGTGTGCCCTTCGGCGAGCTCTCCGGCCGCGGGCCCCCGCCCCTTCAGGCTCAGACGTGGTGGTCGAAAACCCCCTAATTGGGCGACTGGCGGACGGTTACCACGGAAGCTACCTCGTGGGCCGCAGCAGAAGTCGCCCTCGGGGAAGTGGCAAGCGTGCTCCTGCGCGGTGAGGCGCGGCCCCGGAACCCGGAACCGCCGCTGGGGCACCTAAGCTAACCGGACGCCTAGCACGCGTCTGGGCAGGAGTGCGCTCCCCTCGCGGTTCTCTAGAAGCTGAAAGAAAGCGAGATTTCCAGGCAGGAAATGCGAATATGGAGGATTTGAGGGTGCTGGGCCGAACGCGAGAAGGCTGAGTGCCTGAGTGGCTGTTAGGTCTCTGGAGAGCCTTGAATTGGGGAGGGAGAGCCGCTCTGGCCGTGAATTAAAACGGCGGAAAAGATCGGAGACGTTGGGGATGGGTTACTTGAAATCCAAATGCCTGACCGTCTCATTATTTTCCATCCCCAGCCGTTTTCTTCCCACCCTCCCGTTAGTTCCCATTTAGCTCTTTACTGAAGTTCTATGGTAAAAAAACAGTCTTTTGGAGATTCAATATGTGAATAAAGGCATGGGATGTGCTACGTGAAGTTGCTGCAAATTTAATGTTTTGTTCTGCGGTAGACGGGTTGGGAGGCAAAACGTCAAGTATACCAATTAATGTGGTATTCCAGTGATTTATTATTTGTGCCCTGTCCTCTGTAAGGGGACGGTGATTTAATGAAGGATTGTAGTCAGTGTAAAACGTAGAAAAGACAAAATAGTACAAATCGAAAGAAAAAAAGTTTTCAATAAACAATTGCCCGAAATTGGTATTTAACACGTTATATTATTGCTAGGACTAATGAAGAGATGGAGTGCTGGTGAAGGGTGGGGGGACCCTGAAATCACTAGTGATTGAAAAACAGCTTTATTTGCCACCTCCACCTGCAAACAATTATTAATGGCTTTAAAGACCCACTTAGGTTATAACCAAGAAATTGCCAGTGTCTAAAATGAAGGGGGGCCTTGTGTGTAATTTCTAACTTGAGACCAGAAATATCAGATTGGAGTCATGGGATGTAGGTCAGTGGTAGAACACATGCATTCCAGAGGCCTAAGGTCCAATCCCCAGCGGAGACACAGGCCTTATCAGATTAGAAGAGTACAAAAAGGAATCTGTAAATCCTATGCAGAAACTTTGAAGACAGGCAACAATTTTACTTTCATTTCATAACAAGATATCTGTTGATAAAACCCCTATCCCATTGATCAAAAGCAGCAAACTGGGCAAAGCTATGGGGGTACATTCCAGACAATGTCCTATAAAGCCTCATTACATATTTGCAAATTGCCTACTCAATAAAATAAAAATCAATAAAAACTAAAATCAGTTCATATTTTCTGCATTCAGAGACGTGGGCAAAGAGGTGATATTTAACTTGCTTGATACCTGTGGTCAAAGTTGAGATTGAGGCAACACTGCCTTATTCCAGCTCTCATAAACAGTTGTCATATTTAGGGCCATGTTTTTCATATTTGTGTGTGTGTGTTTAGTTGGTGATTTTGCTCTTTTAAAACCCTCCACCCTCAAAGTAGTGCCCTGTGCTTTAGTGCTGTTTGGTATTTCTGCACACAGGAGGAAGACTATGAGAAGTCTTAAGGAAAAAGACACATGTGATAAGTCTCAATTAGGCCCTTTGAGTTCCATGTTAATGAATCAACTATATTTTAAAATAAGGTATCTTTATTTTTTAAATTAATTAATTTTTGGTGTTGGGGATTGAATTCAGGCACTTGACCACTGAACCAAATCCCCACCCTTGTTTTGTGTTTTATTTAGAGATAGGCTCTCACTGAGTTGCTTATCGCCTCACTGGTGCTGAGGCTGGCGTTGAACTCACAATCCTCCTGCCTCAGCCTCTGAGCTGCTGGGATTACAGGCATTTGCCACCACGCCCAGCTAAACAAGGTATCTTTTAAACACAAAACAAACATTGATTGGACAATGAAAATATAATCAGAAACTTAACCTTATATTTATTGAGGAACATTTCACTGTTTTTGGTGATTTTATTAAGCATAACTACCAAAAATAACAGTCTATATTTAATAGAGAGTATATGAAATGTTTCACTCATTTTTAAAAACTGTCTAGATAAGTCCTTTGAAAAGTATTCTCATTATTTTCCTCTCCTCACCTGCCTAAACTACAACCCTAGTTAACTACAGTGTAGTACTTCAGAGCATTTGAACTTGGCTGAAGAAAACCACAAAACCATGCTAACTTTGAAATTAGTTTGTGTTCCTCACCCACCTCCTCACTTCTTAACCAGCTGTTTCATATCTTTTAAACCTGCCAAGGTCATTCTTACCTCTGGAAAAAAAAAATTAGAAATCAGTAACTATTCTCAGCATTGTGCCTACCAACCTTTTGCCTCTGACTGGAGTGCAACACTGTGGCAAGTAAATAGATTATACAAGTTCTTGTCAGAGACCAAACTTGTCACTTTTGCATTGAGTGGCATTTTACTCAGAGAATTGTCCTCTTTCTTTATAATTTTTTTTTTCCTTTCAGCTGTATCACTTCTATTTACAAACATACCTGCACTAGGTATCACCTGAGGGGAGAAAAAGACCTTTTACCTGTATTACCCTTCAAATATTAATACATTGCTTTTTAATCTGATGTTTTATAGAAATACTTTATCTTCACTTCTACTACCCTTTCTTGAACCCATACAATTGGACTTTATTCTCACACTCCTGAACCTGCTTAAGATCATCAGTATCCTCCCTCTTCATAAATCTGATTTCATTACTCAGTCTTCATCTCACTTCACTTGTCAGCATTTGACACAGTTGGTAGCAATATTCCCAAAGTTCCCTATCTTTCTGCCAGAATTCTGACTTGTATCTGTTCCTTCCTAAATGACTGTTGATTAGTCTTGCTGGTTCCTCCCCATTTTTCCAGCCTCTAAGTCCTGGAGTGCCTTAGGATCCAAATCTCAAAATGTGTGCTTCTATTTTCTCTTTTCCTAGGCAATACCATTCACAGACCTGGCTGAATGAAATCTACATCTGAATCTCCAGCCCACACCAGTCCCTTAAGCACTGAATGTTTAGCAGGCATCATGAACTTAATGTATCCCAAAATCAAATCTTGTGCCCTTTACACCACAAAATAAGTCCTGCTTAGGTCTTACTATTCCATTAAATGCCAATCCCATTCCTCTAGGTAAGGCTGAAAATTTGGGAATCATCTTTGACTCTCATACTTCACATCAACTTCATCAGCAAATCATGCAGGCATTACTTTCAAATATATCCAGAACCTGACCTTTATGTACTACTTCCATCAGCTTACACCTGGACAATGCCAAACTCCTCCTATGTTTCCACATAGTCTAGTCTCACACAGCCAAGTGATTCCATTAAAAGTCAATATTATTCCTATCTTAACTTTGACTAATGGCTTCTCATTAGTGAAAAAAGTCAGTTCTAATGATCCACCAAGGCCCTATGTTATGTTTTGTTTGTTGGTTATTTCCCACTAGAATGAAAATTCCATATTAGGTAAATAAATACTTGTTAATGATGGATATTTGACTACAAAAAGAAAAATAGCAAAATAGAATTCTCAAAAAGAAAATACTTGATTCCATTTCTGCTTACATTCTAAAAGCAAGAGTTACAAATCAGTCCTGTTCTCAAAAATACAATATGGGAAAGCTGGATCGTTCATAATACAGGCAAAATATTGTACGACAAAACACTAGAAAGTGTACACACATTTGTGTACATAGCAAGTTTTAAGCAGACATTTGCATTGCTACCTTATGAGAGATACCAAGTTTGCAAGTGAATAAAAGACCCATGTTTCCACTAGTAGATTAGCATATATTAACCCATAGAGGGAAAGAGCTATCAGTTCATAGGTTATAGGTGACCATGGTTTTAATGTGATACTGTTGGTGGAGAATCAAAAAGTGAAGACCTCAAGCCTCTGATTGTGAAAGGGACGTTAAAAAAGCTTTGCTGCAATTTCTAAAAAGTGTCACAAAAAATAAGGATATACCTCCTGAATTTTCACATAGCTCTTTCAGTTCTCTCCTTTGGCCTTGCCTTCTCTCAAGTTCTGCACAGTATACTAATTAAAAGTATGGGTTACAGAAGCAATTGCAGGGCTGGGAGTATAGCTCAGTGGCAGGGCACTTGCCTAGCATGCATGAGACCTTGAGTTCAATCTCCAGAACCAAGAAGGAGGATGCGGGAGTTGAATCATTGTATAATGTAAAGCTCTGGCTACATTACCAACTTGTTAGTAGTGTGACTTGAGCAAATTATCAGAGGTTTTGCTTCCTCACCTCTAAACTTGGCTTGATAAGGTTTAGTGCTGTTTGTGAAAGGTAAATGAAATAAAGTAAATAAAGGCACCTGTCACACACATGTTCTACTACTGGTGGTTATTATTCATTCAAGTTTTGTTTTGTTTTTTTGAGCTTCTGTGTATCAGGAACATAGTGTTAAGCAATATCACTTGGTCTCTGCTTTCATGGAGTTTATATTTTAACCAGTTACAATAAATAGTTGAAAGGAAAGACTTTATATTCTCAATGTTGGGGGTATATGTTGTTTATTCAATTATGAAAGAAAATAAGACAACTGTAACAAAAATTACTATTTATAGAACGGGAGTAAAAATCTCCAGTACAACATGATATCAGAATATGATATATCCTTCTAGGCAGGAATGATATAAATAATGTAATGAAGAGATCACGTGAAAAATACTTATTGACTAATGTGTTGCCTGTAGTGCTGGATTTACCAAAGTGGCTGCTTATTTTAAGAGTTCTTCCAGGTACTAAAATTTAGCCAAGAGTGAGCTCTGTACCCTAAATTCTTTGCCTTTCTGTGGCAAAACTTCAATATGGATTAACCCAACTATTCACTTTCTCGGTAAATTTGAGCAATAGGACACTGCTGAAGACTAAAATAATAGATCGGACTGACTCCACTATAATCACATGACCCCCAAAATCAAATGGTCCCTCCATATAGCCAGGCAATCTTACATTTCTCTCTTCAACTCTTCTCAACCACTCCAACAAGTTTTCCACACTTACATTCTCTCCAAGCTTATTTCCCTCGCTTTCCTACTTTTCCTTCACTCTCAGAAGATCATCCTTAGTCCCAAGCTGAAGTCACCAAATAGAAATTCCTTCTTGCCTCCAAAACTTCAAATCTACCTACATTTATCCTTCTATTTATTAAGCACCCACTCTGTGCTAAGAATACATCTGAAAAAACAAGGCAGAGGCTGAGGCTGGAGCTTAGTGGTAGCGTGCTTGCCTAGTATGTGTGAGGCCCTGAGTTTGATCCTCAGCACCACATAATAAATAAAATAAAGGTATTGTATCCTAGTGGAGAAGATAGGTGTAAAATGAATATTTAACATAGTAATTTAGAAGTAAGTGCTACAGAGAATGTAGGGTAAACGAAAATTTTGGATTGAAGGGTAATTTTTTAAATGGTCAAGGAGCAGGTAACATTTGAGCAGAGACTTTAGAAGGAGGTAAAGCAAGCTATATGCGTATCTGGAGAGCAAAGGTCCTGAGGCAGGAGAGTAGCTGGTGTGTTTAAAACCAGTAAGGAAAACTGGTTGAAGGATAGTTACAAATGGGGACAATGTTAGGAAGTGAGGTCAAATAGGTTAAAGGAGGTGGGTAAATAGATCATGAAGCATCTTATAGGCCTTTAGAAGGTTGACTTTTATTCTAAGTGAAATGTGAATCGACTGGAGAATTATAAGCAAAGAAATGATGCTGGAAACTTGACAATAGTCTCTATTCCTGTCCTTACAAAAGGAATCAGGGAAACAATAGGCTTCTGATCTACCCAAAGGTCACTGTTTCAAAGCAAGAGTTAGTCCTCCTAGCTGCCATTTTCTTTACCTGTGCTTTCCTTTCACCCTTTCAGTTGCCGTATAGTCAGTTATCCCTTCCATTGTATATTCAAACTCTCCTTTCATTTGGATCAATTCTACTGGTTCTTAAACATGCCTGAATTCTATCTTTAAAAAACCCTTCCTTTACCTTATATTTCCCCCATTTACTGCTCTAACCTCTTTCTCATATCAGCCTAACTTTTAAGTCTTGTTTGTGGCATTTCCCTCTTCACTGCCTTGTTCATGTTTCAGGTCAATGTAATCTGACATCTACCCCCGTAACATTAAAAGAATTTTTCCCAAGGTCGTCATTTCTCAAGAAGCAGTGCTGATTTTTCAGCAGACATTCTGGCATTTGAAAACGTGGCAGTGTTTTTGGTTATCATTTATATATTTACGGTAATACCTAAGGGTGAGAAGTGCTACAGATGTTTTAGTTGTAAGAGGTCAAAGATGCAAAACAGATACCAGTGTACAAGATACTCCTTTATTTTTAATAATGGTCCTGCTCAAGCTGGGCATGGTGGCACATGCCTGTAAACTCAGCTACTCAGGATGCTGAGTTAGGAAGATCACAAGTTCAAAGCCAATCTGGGCAAATTAGCAAGACCCTATCTCAAAACAAAAAAGGACTGGAGATGTAGCTCAGTGGTAAAGCATTTGCCTAGCATGTTCAAGACTCTGGGTTCCATCCCAAGTTCCACACACACAAAAAAAAATTATCCCACTCAAAATATTAATATCACTCCATTGAGAAATAATCTTAAGATTGCAGGTGATTTCTTAGTACCTATGTTTAATGAACATTTTTCAATCTTTTTCCTACTCAATCTCAGAATATTTAGCATTGGTAAGTATTCTCTTTGCATATCACTTTTCTTTTGGCTTCTCTAGTACAATATATGTCTTATTTTCTTTCTGCTCCTCTAACCACTCCTCTATTCTTTTTTACAGATTTATCATCTTGTACTCTACAACCAGATGCTGAGATTCTTCAAGAATTAGTCCCTCAGAAGTGATGGTAGCAAAAATGGCCAGTAGGAAACTCCAGGGACACACCCCTCCACAAAAACATTGAATAAATTGGAAAAAATTTTCAGAATCAACTTGATGTAACTCCAGAAACTTGTAGGAAAAAGGTAATAATCTCAGGAGGAGAGTTTTATATCATTTAAATTTATTTACTATCTCTCTATTCCCTGGTTTGAAACTGACACCCAAAGCTAGCAGTGGCTTTGAAGAGACCCAGCATTTCTGGTGTGGGTTCCTAGTGCCACATGGAGCAGAACAGACTTTTTTCTCAATTGTTCTTTTTTGGAGGCCTGTGTTATGGTTTCCTGAAGGACTGATGCAAAGGGCTTGATTTTATTCCACTTAACTCAGAACTCTGCTGAGGCAGAGATGGGGGTATTGTCAAAGATGTCTGATATAGGCTGGGCTATGGCTCAGTGGTAGAGCACTTGCCAAGCATGTGTGAGGAACTGGATTCAATTCTCAGCACCACATATAAAGAAATAAAGAAAAGTCCATCAACAACTAAAAATTATATTTAAAGAATATTAGAAACAAAATAACTGCTGCCATCTGGAACAAGGAATTATAGACAATAGATATATCAAAAAGCCTAAGAGGAAAAGCTATAGAATAAGATACTTTAGGAAATAAAGACTGAAAACTCACAAATATCTGGAAATCTAAAAGGCCATATGTACAGAAAAGAGCTGAGAAAACCCTAAACTCTTACCTCTGGCTAATATTTAGGCTATGTTTAAAGGGGAAGTGAAAGTTAAAGTGGACTTGTAAAAACAGTTCAACTGAATATTAAAGGTATGCCCCAACATATACACAAAGCTCACTGGCAAAGATGGGAGTGTTAAATTTCTTTTTTTTGGTTCCAAGCATTTAGGGAAATCTCTGTTGAATCACTAGCTGACCATTTACCAACAGAACAGACTTCACTGGCCAAACACAATAAGAAGTACAGATTTTACATAGTTTAGAAAATTCACTAAACAAATAACAGCTTCCACATAAGCAGCAATGACGAACCCCAGGGAGGAGAATTTGATTTCAAGAGTTACTATATCATAGTAAAAATTTCTGGAATTATAAGGCAAACAAGGAAAATAAAAACAAAAAAAGTATGGCTCATACACAGGGAAAACAAGGAAATTAACAGACACTTTTCCTGAAGAAGCACAGACACTGAACATAGTAGATAAAGAAAGGCTTTCATCAGCTTTTTAAAATATGCTAGAAGCTGGGTGTGGTGGCACACGCCTTTAATCCTAGCAACTCAGGAGCCTGGTTGAAGTTGAAGGCCAGCCTCTGCAGTTTAGCAAGGCCCTTAGGTACTTAGTGAAGCTGTGTCTCAAAATAAGAAATAAAAAGGGCTAGGTGTATAGCTCAGTGGTAAAGTGCCCCCGGGTTCAATCCCCAGTATCAAAAATAAATAAATATGCTAGAAACAGCCAAGGGATGTAGGCACTCAGCTAACATGTGTGAGGTCCTGGGTTCAATCCAAGCACTATAAAAAATAATAATAAATAAAGAATTTTATATCCAGCAAAACTATTGTTCACAAGTGAAGGAGAAATTCAAGCATTCCAAGATAAATAAAACTGAAAGAGTATGTCACTAATAAACTTGCCCTACAAGGGCAGGGATACTAAAGGAAGTTCTTTACATTAGACAGTAATTCAAATGGACACTTGAAGAAATAAAAAAATAAATAAATAAAGAACACTTATAAAAGTAACTACATAGTCAATATTGGTGTATTTTTTGTTAGAAACTTTTTCTGTGTAAATTGAGAAACAAAAATCTTTAAATTTAACTCAGTGGGTACACAGTATGTAAAGATATAATTTGTGATGATAGCAACATTAGAGGGAGAGGACAAAATGTAGGAGAAAAGAAGCTAGAAAAGTTAAGATATTAATTGTATTCCCTAGAGCAACTGCTAAGAAAATAGCTAAAAATTAGAAGAAAAAAAGCTAAAAAATTAGAAGAAAATAGCTAAAAATTGGTAAATGGTATGATAAAAAATATCTAATATAAAAGAAGGTAACACTGAAGGCAATAATGAAGGAATTGAAGTAGATGGGCTAGGATTGTGGCTCAGTTGTAGAGCACCTGCTTAGCATGTGTGAGGCACTGAGTTCAAAACTCAGCACCACATAAAGATAAATAAAGATATTGTGTCCATCTACAATATTTAAAAAATTTTAAAAGAAGACATATGGAAAACATATAGCAAATGATAAAGTCCTTGGTTATGTTAAAAGTAAATGCACTAAACTCCAATTAACAGGCAGAGAAATTGGCAGAATAGATTTTTTTCTGTAAGTGTTCTGACTAGTTCCTGTCTACAGGAGACTCACTTTGGAGCCAAAGATACTGGTGGGTTGAAAGCAAAAGTGTGGTGTTTTGTCTATTTGTATCGCTATCAAATAACTTATACATAACATAAATTTATTTTCTCACAGTTTTAATGGCTGGGAAGTCCAAGATCATGACACTGGCATATTTGATGTCTGGTGAGGGCTTCTCTTTGCTTCCAAGATGGCATTTTATACTGCATCCTCCAGAGGGGAAGAATGTTGTATCATCATATAGCAGAAGAAAGAACAAAAAGGATGGACTCTATCAAGTCCTTTTATAAAGGCACCTCATCTCATCCATGAGGGGAGAAGCCCTCATGACCTAGTCACCTTTTGAAGCCCTCACTTCTAGTTCCATCACATTTACCATTAAATTTCAACACCTGAATTTTGGTGGGCACACATTCAAATCACAGGAGGTCAAAAAAGATGTTCCAAAATATCTCAATTCTACATGGAACATTCTTCTAGCTAAAACATGTTAGTCCACAAAATAATCTCAAAATTTTTTTTAAGATTGAAATTATATCAGGTATCTTCTCTGACCACAATGGAATGAAACTAGAATTAACATACCCTTAACCAATAGGTAAAAGAAGAAATTATGAAAGGAATTAGAAAATACTTCGAGGTGAATGAAAAAAGGAAACAACACACTAAAACTTACACAATGCAGAAAGCAGTTCTCAAAGAAAAATTAATATCGGCAAATGTCTAAAAAAAATTTGGGCTGAGGATGTAGCTCAGTGGTGGAGCATGTGCTTGGCATGTGCGAAGCCCTAGGTTCAATTCCCAGCACCAAAAAAAGGACATCCCACTTTAAAAATGAGCAAAAGGGGCTGAAAACATAGCTTATCTTAATAGTAGAGTGCTTGAGAGAACTTGGATGGACATTTTTCCAAAGAACATATTTCTTTCTTTTTTTGGCAGTGGGGCCAGGTGTGTGCTGGGGAATCATGATATTTAAATGGACAATAAGAACTCAGAAAGGGTGCCAGGGTTGTGGCTCAGTGGTAGAGCACTTGCTGAGCATATGTGAGGCAGTGGGTTCAATCTCAGAACCACATTTAAAAAAAAAAAGGTATTGTGTTCATCTACATCTAAATATGATATATATATATATATATATATATTATATATATACACAAAACTCAAAAAGGTGCACAACATTTTTAGTTATTAGGAAAATGCAAATCAAAACCACAATAAGATAACACTTCTTATCCACTAGAATGGCTATTAATCACAAAGTGTTGGCAGGGATGTGGAGACACTGATCGCTTCTTAAACTGCAAGTGGAAATATAAAGTGATGTGGTTGCCATTAAAAACTATTTGATGGTGCTGGGGTTGTGGCTTAACAGTAGAACACTTGCCTAACACATGTGGGGCACTGGGTTCCATCCTCAGTACCACATAAAAATAAAATAAAGATATTGTGTCCAACTACAATTAAAAAACAAAAATATTAAAAAAAAAAAGTTTGGTGGTCCCTCAAATTTTTAAACGTGACATTATGACCCCCCCCAGTTCTTCTTAATATCTACTCAAAATAATAGAAAAGAGGCATTCAAACAAAAACATATACAAAAGCTTGTACATAATGTTTAGGGTATCATTATTCATAAGAGTCAAAAAGTAGAAACCTGAATGTCCATCAACAGAAGAATGGACAAATGGAGATATATCCATATAATGGAATATTACTCAGCTATAAATAAGAATAAAGTACTAATACATTCTGCAACATGGATCAAACTTGAAAATATCATAAGTGAAAGAAGCCAGATACTGAGACACATTCTATTTATGTGAAATGTCTAGAATAATCAAATCCATAGAGACAGAAAATAATTAATGGTTGCCAGGGCTTGTGGAGAGGTAGGGATAGCTTACTACTTCATGGGTATAGGGTTTGTGTTTTTTTTTTTTTTTAGTGATGAAAATGTTTATATTTAGGTAGTGGTTATTGTTGCAAACATCACAGATACACTGACTATCACAGAATTGTACACTAAAATGATTAAAATTGTAAATTTCATGTTATATGAATTTTACCTCAAAGAAGAAAATACAGTTACTCTCTTCACTTCATACATGAGTATATGCTTTCCATACACTCATTCACTCCCATGGCTTTTGTGCATAGTTTACTGCCTATAGGTGTCTTTCTCACTAGAGACAGTTCATATACACAATCCTCATCTTTTTATCTAAGTTCCAGGCCTGAATATCCTACTGCTTACTTATCTAACACCTTCACATGTATGATTCAAATGCATCTTTGAAACATACAAAACTGAGCTCATAACCTTGCCTTTCAGACTTGGTCATCTTAAATGTTTCCTAATTCACTAAAGGCTAAAGATATTCATTGAGGAATTATTATTTGTTGGGACTGAATAAGTGCTACATCAATTATTCACTTAATTCTTATAAAACCCCAGGTTTTTAATCTTCTTTTTGCAGTGAGTGTATTGAAAGGTAAAACAACTTGTGAGAATCATACACCTTGTTAAGTAAAACTAACTTTGAACTAAGGCATCTTGACTCCCCAGAGCCTATGTTCTTTACGATATTGCTATACCATCCACCTTAATTAAACCTGGCACAAGTCATCCTTGTCACTTTGCTCCTTTACACACCAATTCCTCCTATTGATTTGATTCCTAAGTAACTCACTCTATTTGTTGCTCAGATTACCAGCCTTTTGTTGTTACTATTACTTGGAATATTTTAGATTATTATTCACTATTATCCAAGCCCCCATCTTTTGTCTATACAATGACCTCTAAGCCAAGTTTTCCATATTCACTATGAAAAACCTAATAAAAATACTTTAAATGTAACTTTATGTCTCACAAGTAGGGAATTCATATTCTTCTCTTATGCCTAAGGAATGTTTTCAAATATTAATCATAAAGTTGGCCACATAGAAATCCTTAATGAATTTCAAAAAGGAAAATTTGGTAAAATCCACTCTAGATTTCAGTGTGATAAAACCTGAAGTCAACAAAAGTTACCTTTATTTCTTGATTATATTTTAACCCTACATTCTTTTTTCAATTAATTTTTTTATTTTAATTAGGTATATATGATAGCAGAATGCATTTTGATTCATGGTACTCAATTGCAGCATAAGTTTTCATTTCTCTAGTTGTACATGATGTATTGTTGCACCGTAAGTGCAGTCATACATGATCCTAGAGTAATGAGGTCCATCTAATTGCACCATCTATCCCTATGTTCTTAACTGCTGGTTCATTGTCAATCTCTCCAAGGCTCCTGCTTTCATTTCTTGGTAATTTTAATATGCATACCTGTGATGTTTCCAGTACCTGACCTCCAGCTTCTTAGACACTTCTTTCACTCTCTCTGAAGTCATTCCATAGTGAGACCTTCTTATTACTAGTAACTAACAAACCCTCTATTTCAATTGTCTATTTCCCTCTCTCTGACCCCACCTTCTATCTTCACCCCATGTTTTCTTCTCCTGATTCATCATACTTAACAGCAAAACCATAATTTTAACCAGGGTTTCACTCTTCCACTTTTGCTCCTGTGTAGCTGAACATGACTGGAAGAAAAATGCATGCTAAATTCACAAACACAAACCTCATGTAATCTCAGCATGCTGCCAAAGCAACCAAATCATATTTTCTCCCAGTTTATTCACTCTTCCTGTTTTAATCTGTTTGGACTGCTATAACAAAAAAAAAAAAAAAAAAAAAACAACAACAAAACAAACTGGGTGGCTTATAAACAATAGAAATTTATTTCTTATAGTTGTAAAGGCAAGAAAGTTCATGGTCAAGGCACTAGTAGACTGGATATTTGATGAGGGCCTACTCTCTAGATTATAGATGATGCCTCCTTACTGAGTCTTCACATGGTAGAAGGGTTGAGGTATCTCTTTCATGCTGAGAGCCATAGCCAAGTAAGAATGACGCCTGGCATTTTTGGTTGAAAGGTGACGCCAGCAAGCCATTGAGATGATAATGATTATGTTAAGATGTGCATTCAATTGGAGATTAGACCCCTGCTGTCCGCCTTGGCCTGCTACTTTGGAGCTCTTGCAGGACTCCCGGAGAGTTCCCATTGGTTGAGGAAGTGCTGTAGGAGGGAATTCCAGAGGAGGGATTTCTGGTTGGTGTAGTGTGTCCTGGGAGAAGGCCGCATGCGTGCGTGACATTCGTGGGAGTTTTGGAAATAAAGTTTGTTCCTGCTTGAGTGGCTCCTGATTTTGTGCCCAGCTAGACTGCGGCACTTTCAGACTTCTTTTACAAGGACACTTATCCCAATCTTAAGGGATCATGACCTAATCACCATGACCCCTACTTACTTCCCAAAGGCTGTACCTTCTTACACCATCACCTAGGGAGTAGGATTTCAACATATGTATTTTGGGGAACAAAAATTCAGACTCTTCACCTTTACTTGGAATATTTTAGATTATTCTCCTCTCCAAATAGCCCAGATGTTTTTACTTCCAATCTTATCCTCAGTGATAACTCTCTTTTCTATTTCCTGGGAAAAAATGAAGTGATCAGGAGACCTGCTCCTACATTCATCTCCTTATCAACATCTGAACTCTATGCTTTCAAGCCTAGTGATATACATCAGCTATGCACGCTTTCCATGTTCTCATCTAAAATCAGCTTCTTTGCTTGTTTGCTAGATTAGGGGTCTGCAAACTGCAGCCTGTGAACCAAATCCTGCTTTGTTTTGAATGGCCCATGAGCCAAGAATGGTTTTTACATTTTTAAATTGTTGGGTGAAAAAATATACAACGGAGACCATGTGTGTGTGGTCCACAAAGCCTACAGTATTCCCTATGAAGCTCTTTAGAGGGGAAAAAAAAAAAAAACAACTACTGATCTTTACACTAGATCCCACCTCTTTTCTCCTACGCAATATTGACACAGAAGTTCTCTCTTCTCCAACTTTAACCAGCATTTTCCCCATACTAGACTATTTTTTTACCCTCATTCAAACATTGTTATCTCTCCCATCTTCAAATCAAACTGAAAAATTCAGCACCACTTCTCTTAGTAATTACCGTTCCATTTCTTTGTTTTCCCTTTGCTTCCTGCACCTTGAAATAATAGTCTATACTTGGTGTTTTGAATTCCTTCTAATTCTTACTTGAACCTACTCCAACCAGGCTTTCTCTTCTGTTACCAAAACAACTGCCCTTGTCAAGGTCATTAATAGCTTCCATATGCTTGTTCTAATGGATGGTCTTAGAGTCTCTTATTATTTGACTTATCAGCAGCATTTGAAAAAATGAATCACTCCCGCTTCCTTGATAAATTCTTCACCTAATTTCTAGGTCACCACACTGTTTTCTCTACCTTGTAGTGGCACCCCCTCCTCCACAAAAAAAAAATTCTAATTAAGCATCTCCAGAAATCTTCATTATAATTGATCTTACAACTATCAGCAAAAGGATTTCTGCAAAAGAGTTCAATATAGTTAAACTTTCTATTTCCTGTTGCTCTATCTTACAATAATTAAATTTGGCCTGAAAGAGATCAGCACTCCAATACCCCTTTACTAGTTTTTCACAAACATTTATGACTAACAATCATAGTAACAATATATCTAGTATAGTAACAATATATATATAATAATTTGTAAAAGTTTTCAAGCAGGAAGTATGTTTGCAAACACAAAGTGTGATAAGACAAAGACCCTTTAACAAGGCCTCTGGCCTTGGGTTTAACAGAGATGTTTACATTTCAAAGAAAAGATGTTACTAATTGGGCTCCATGGTAACCCCTGGAGTGGGAGGGGAAAAAAGGGCAGAAGAAGCTCTCCCCTTCTCAGGTGCTGTCCTTGAAGGGTTCATTTGCCCAGAACAGTGAAAGAAAGAGCTGCTTTTGTGTGAATGTCTTCAGATTGTGAAGCTCTGAGCCCCTCCCCCATACACTGGGTATAAAGTTCTGAAACTGCCTGAACTGGGGGTTCAGGGGGATTGATTGATTATAGCTAAAGCTTTGCCCTCTGAACCTGGTTGCAACCAAATAAACTCATGTACTGTTTTCCTATCTGGTGTCCTACTTAGTCTGTCCCTACAACAATCTCACTGGTGTGGCTCAGTCTGTCTTTCTCCATCTGTACATCTTAAGGATCTTATCATTTCATGACTTTCAAATCTACTTTTTTGCTGTCAACTCCCAAATTTATACGTATCCTTGACTTCTTTCTTGAAATTCTGATTCCTATATATAACTATTTATTCAACATTCCACATGAATGTCAAATAAAAATGTCAAATTTATATTCAAAACAAACTTCTGATCTTTAACCCTAAAGCTCTTCAGTCATCATCCTCATTTCACTATGTTAACTCATTCTTCTTGTTGCTAAATCTAAACTTTTGGAGGCATCCTTCTTTCATACAACTCTGTCAAGAAATTCTGTTGGTTTCACCTCTAAAGTAGAACCAGAATTTGATCACATCGTCTCCTACCTGGACTACTACTGAGTTTGCTTCCTACTTTGTGCTTCTACTATGGTTTCCTATAATCTAAACTCAAAGCAGCAGATAGTGATACTTTCAAAATGTACATCAAATCATGTCATTCATCAATTCAGAATTCTTCAATAGCTCCCCATTTCATACATAGTGAAGCCTAAAGTCATAACAATGGCCCAAAAGCCCTAAATAAACTGGTTTCCCTTACCTCTCCAACCTCATATCCAATTTTCCCTCCTTGCTATTCTGGGCATGCTGCTAATCTA